GGATGGATGGATGGATGGATGGATGGATGGATGGATGGATGGATGGATGGATGGATGGATGGATGGATGGATGGATGGATGGATCGATAGATGGATGGATGGATGTACAGGTAGAAACTTAAACAATTCTATCAATCTAGCTATACACGTTTCCAAACGGTCAATGGATAGATGGAGTCGAGCTGACCGATCTCCAGGAGGGTAATTTCGACCTACGGCCACAAAGCTGGCCGAGTTGGTGCGTGGGTTGAGTTTATCGGTGCACCTATAGGCCCGTAGCCAGCTTTATACTGTGGGGGGGGGTTAGTTTTTAAATGTTTGCAATTTGTGAGGGCGCGAAGAGACAGAGCGAGGGAGCATAGCGACAGAGCAGGGGGAGGGTGTGGGAGGGGGGTGTCGATGGAGATTTTGCGAACCCCCCGAACCCCCCTTGGCTACGGGCCTGCACCTATAGCATATAGGCTAGCCCTTGTTGCTATAGGCATGTGACAACAAGGGCTATATACTGGAGTATATACTAGATAGTACTGGAGCTATATAGTCTTAGGATAGTGCTCCTTGGACATCGGCCCGCCCCCGCTCTCTATTGGCAGAAATGATTTATAATCGCGCTATGCCAACATGGTGTGTAATCGTCGTACACTCGCGCGGTGTATGTTATTATTATTATTATTATTATTATTATTATTATTATTGTCATCATCATCATTATCAAATATTCAAATACCGTTATAATATTACATACAATTGATAAATAAATAATTATATTACCATATACCACACCACACCACCCCATCTCATCCCACCCCATCCCACCCCACCCCACCCCACCCCATTCCCATCCTATCATATCATATCCTTTTCTATTCTATGTTATGCTATGCTATGCTATGCTATGCTATGCTATGCTATCCTATCCTATCCTATCTATGTTATCCTATCCTATCATGTCCAATTCTATCCTATCCTATCCAATCCTAGAATATCTTATTCTATCCTATCCTACCCCACCTCACCCTCACCCCACCCATCCCACGCCATTATATTGCGCTTAATTCCACCCATCCTATCTTATTCTTTCCTATCCCATCCCATCCCATCTTATCCCATCCCACCCGATCCCATCCCATCCTATCCTATTCTATCATATCATATCCATTTCTATTCTATGTTATGTTGGCTATGCTATGCTATGATATGTTATGATATGCTATGCAATGCTGTGTTATCCTATAGGGAGGCCTTTCTTATAGGATGTCCTGTCCTGTCATGTCCTATCCTATCCTATCCTATCCTATCCTATCCTATACTATCCTACCCTACCCTATCCTATCCTATCCTATCGTATCCTATTTTATCCTATCATATCCTATCCTATGCTATCCTATCCTATCCTATCCTATCATATTCTATTCTATCCTATCCTATCCTATCCGATCCGATCCTATCCTATCCTATCCTATTCTATCTTATCCTATCCTATCCTATCCGATCCGATCCGATCCTATCCTATAATACCCGATCCTAACCAAACTCGTGACATTCACTGCAGACATCGACAATGTACAGCTCGCAAAGCCTAATTCGCCATTTCTTCTTTAGGTAGAATAGCTATTTAGGCGATTGAACAAGCTATTCTGCTATTGGTTTTAAATTCGCAAAGGTTCCAATGGTTATATCTGGTTATCCGCATACTCGTATATCCTCGATGCAAATGGATGCCAGTCACTAAATGCCCGCCTCTAATGCTATGGCTGCTCGCAGAGCATACAGAAAAGCTTGAATGGAATTCCTATTGATATTAATCGGCTAAAACGTTTTCAGTATTTTCCTTTTGGAATTACATCGCGGTTTACACATAGCATACGATAATGATTGGTTAAAGTGTAGCGACATGCTGAATCGGGGTGCGGCTGCCATATATTCATAAAGGCGGCAAGAAATTTCTTGGTAATAAAATCATGAAGTTTAGAATATCCTCTATGCAACATTCAACAATAATTAAGTAATAGGATTAAGTATATTAATTTATAGAATTCCTTAGTATTTTAACAATAAGAAAAAGACCTGCATAATGGGGTCATTAGATGTTTTAAAGCAGTTTATTCAGATAAAAATAGTTTGGGATAACAAAATATGCAATATTGCGTATTGAAAAAATCAAACCCAGTTATCACGATATATCTTCTCAGAAATTAGATAATGTTAGTACTCTTTTGGCCTAGTTGATGTTTGTTTATAACTAGTGTAAATAATGAAAAAGGGTTTCGCTTCTTAGAAATGATATAAATGTACCGTTTAAATAGTGTAGATCTTATGAGCAAATTACCTAACACGAATTTTCATTCTTTCAATATGGGTTTGCGGTCTGAACTAGCGCTAATGGTAACTATTCTGTAGGAATCTTTTGCAGCGACCACCATTCTATCGAAAACCCCACTTGATGCAGAGCTACATGCGTGTAATGATTAAATTGCGGAATTACACGAAGGAGTAATTACGTGGACTAGCTATCAAAATGGTTAATATTTCACAAGACATGACTGTCAATGGGAAAACCGATATTGTGATAAAACGATTGAAATTTACTGAAGGATATAAGCAAAGACGGTAAAATTAATAACGCTGATAACGAATTCTGACAAAGCCTCTATTTATCACCGCAAAGTCTTTCAAATGCGGAGAGCTGATCTTAGAATCACAATGAGTAGTTACACGTGTCCAATGTGCAAATGAATTTGGACAATGCACGTCGATTTGATTCATTATGTCGCTTGCATCGCGAACAATGAGCCGGATTTCGGGCTTTAGTGCTTTCAGTCGTCTGACGGAATCGAAGCAGCGTTCGAGATGTTGATTAACTGTCTTCTAAATCACTGTCAGTGGCACTTCAGACAGCGTCGCTGTCATAATTGTTGGCAGAAGCGCGCGTACGTAGCAAATAGAGAAACGAGCTTGAGTCGTATAGATAATAGCGCGACATTCCTAGCTGAGCGATACCTTCGCACCTCAGCACCTCATGCGGCAGTGGAACCCTATATAGATGTGCATGCACGTGTGCGTGTGTTTGAGTCCGTGCGTCTCCATTTCCACGTTATGTGCACACGTGTGTTCGCGATTGCGTGTGTGATAGAATAATTGTGTAAACACACCGCCTTTGCGTGGAGGCGCGCGTGCATATGTGGGTGCGCGTGTACTTGTGTAGTATTGTTGGGAGTCTGCAGCGTGACTTCACCAAGAACACTACCTCTTATCACAACGGCAATATTTTCCAAAATAATATTTATTTGGGAGTTATAATCGATAGTTGAGGGGTTACGAAAACGAAACGGAAAATATCTGTTTGAGGACCTGTTTTATTTGTCTGTTCTTGCCAATATTTGTGCGCACGACTAACTTCCTATCGACAGCAGAGGAACAAAATAAAAAGCGTGAAGGAGGCGCAGACGAACCCGGAGGGCGTACACAGATTTAGAGCACTTACACGCGCAAATTTCGTGATCTCGTTACATTAAGACATGGGTAACGTTTGCTTAGGTTTGGCTAAGTTGTTATACTAGCAGCATGCAAACAATTATGACACAGTTTGCGTAAACGAACACGTGAATGTCAAGCGTATGTACAGCGCGTAACGCATTAAAAGCGATTTACCGGAAACAAATCTACAAGTACAAAGTTCAAGAACCGGTCTGGTTGTGCCGCGATGCGTCGAACGCGTTTTTGATTAAAGGACGATTTCATCATCGATCGCTGTTCCAAAGTCTGCCACGTTGGTTCGCCTTCATTCGGATGGTATGTTCATCCAGCGTTGATTGCTGCACGGGCAACTAATATCGTCCAACTTCTGATGCCGCGGAGAACATTACTGAGCCGTATATCTTATCAAGTTGCTCCAAGCATCTTGAAGCGACAGCAATTTTACGAAATTGGTTTATTTTGTGTTATCAACCTCTTAACAGGTACGGCCGGCGGGAATTCGATCGAGTGAAGTGTAAGCGAACTACTGTCGTATGAAAGTTGTTTCCGAGAAATTTGCGCAACTTCGACGTGTCTTCATTCCGCGAAAACAATTTAACGAATAATTTTTTTCCGGTTTTCGCAAACCGATCGAAACGCGCGGGCAAAGATAAACAATGATGGCGTAGCAGATTAGATGACCATGAAATACAAAAGTCAATGAAACATCGCAAAAAAAGGAGTCATAATATATGTTTTTTATACCCACAACAGAACAAATGCATGCTACAAAGCACATACGTAAAGATAGCAACGAGGCATCACCGCTGCCGCACGCACCTTGGAGTCAAATCGTATGAATGAAAACTAAAAACCATTTCCCACCATACGAAATATTGATGAAACTAATACCGGCTATAGGGGTGAACACAGGGGGATTTTTCGAGAATTCTCAAGCCGAGAGTTCTGTGATCTATATTCGATTGCGTATTATCCGTTTTACAACAACCTGACAAATAATTCGCAAATTTGGCACAGGAGGACATTATTAATCGATTCGTGTGGTACTAGTGCAATTGGTTCGCACTAGTGCCAATCGCCCCTGTATGCACCCCGAACATATCGCGATCGAATACATGTGCTCATTCTTATCCAGTGACAGATGTCTAGAAAGTCATTGCAACACGACAACGCTAGTTTTGCAGCAAGTAACATACGCTACATGTTACGGCAATAAAATACGGACATGGGTCTATGCGAACACGCGATACCTGTTTGATAACATCCACCCCGAATTATTTCATATATTTATGTATATATATAATTATATATATATATTTACTCATTTACAATTTACAAAGATTATACAAAACATAAAGGTTGATCTCGATTTTGCTAAAATGGGAAAAACGTGTACATTAACGGCAGACTAGATCATGCTGACCACTCACACATTGCTAGCCGCATGCGCAGGGCTAAAGCGGGGCACACTACATCGGCATTAACCAGATTACAAACAGGAAAAAAGAGAATTCGTCTTTCTTTCCCAGAAACAAAAGTGAAACTAGAAAGATCCGTGCTAATTATCGCAGAATGCATGCGACGTAGATTGTCCAAGCGCGAGCCAGCCAACAACAGCAGCAGCTCACGACCTTTTTTACATGGCTGATTTCGAGATCTTCGTAAAATAAAATACTGACAATCGCCATATATATATATATATATATATATATATATATAAATTATAAAGTATCTAATAGAAATAGAACGAATTCAAAGCACTAACGATCGAGCAGTAGTAGTAGTTCAGCGTCTGATTGATATAATACCAATCACTATTCACAACTATATTTGGTTATATAAGCAGCCCAAGATACGAAGAATTCACACGATCGTACGTTAACCATACATAATGACGTGGTAATCCTATATGCACGATTAGCAACGAATATCTTTAAACGGCAGCACGGAATCATGCTGTCTAGCGGAGAAATGACGACACTAAATTTCACACAATCTTAAAATTGAACCGTTAAATTTAAATCTTGCTCCTCGAAGGAAGCTGACTCATACGGTGCCACGTTACTATAGGCATATGGGTTGCCCGGTTGCTTTAAATGAGTGGAAAGTTCATGAAATGTTGTCGCTGACACATCACACAATAACTGAATTATTGCAGGCGAATTTAACAACTTAACAATAACGTTCAGAGAAGTACAATATAACACTTTTTGATCTGGGAGATATTAAATCTCCAGTGGCGGTTTATACGATAGGATACCTAATTCGAACCATAACGGCTTTTTGTTCATTGTCCTCATTTATGGTTGGCAATTACTAAACATACATCCGCTTCATTGTAAGCGCGAGCCTTTATTGTCTCAGTAGCTCGTCCTCCCACTCGTTCGAACAGAGGACTTTACATATGAATATACACAGTGCAGACACGGCGAGCGGCACAAGTGGATTAAATACACGCAGCTATTATGTGTTCAGAGCTCTACTTCTCTGCTGTCACTAGAGGTCTGTCGTACATTTCTGCAGCTCTCGACGTGATGCAAAAATAAGAGCCTCAAACGATTTGCAAACGCCAGCATCCGGCAGCCATTTCGCAACAACTATCACTACTAGAAAAAGCAGCGAAGGCTCGCTTGAATAACCGCTTTGCAATATTAAAACAGCCATAACGCTAGAACGTTTGACAAAGCATTGGAAAAGCAGCCGCGCTACAGCTTTAGTCTGCAAAACGTTGCATAGTTACAGCTCATGAATTATTAAACACCGTCGTTTTTACGTGATCGTGTTGAAATAACCTACAGATGTAAAATATTGAAAAATATAGCAGGGAAACAATTAATTCAGAAATGTAACCGTAATTACAAGAAACCACATCCCCATGGGAAAAATATGTACTTCAGTATATACACCGTACACAAGAAACATTTATAGGTCCGTCCTAACAAAACGCATAGTTGCACTCCGTGAAATATTGGTATAACAGATGACACTCTCCGTCAACACGTATCGCGGGAAAAATCAGACGTGGACATCTCTTGTTCGATAAAGCGTTGTGTGTTCATCGCAGGTCTCTATTTGCCTTAAACATTTCACACCGCGTAGTCTTAACCCGAGGCGTGTTTTGCCACATCGCCTGCGAGGTTGTTCCTCGGCATCAGTGCTATTGACAGAAAGCGAGTGGTTTTGTTCTCTCGATCCGCGCCACTCGCCGCTTAAATCTCTAATCACCCCGACGGGCTATCCTGAATTCGGCGACGCGACATGAAGGGTTCATATACATCTCACGCTCAAACCCCTGTGCGAATTTTACGCGAGATAAATCGGTAGACGCGAGTCATTTGTTCTTATGCTAATACATCGAATTAGTGGTGCTAATTCAGCTTTCACAGACTTCAGCAGGAAGGATCTGATTGTTCATGGGCTAACTTTGTGAGATCTGCTTATTACGTACGTACTACAATAAACGAACAAGGAATACGTTTACGTTATTTTAATGCAGCAGCAACATTTGCATTTTTACGCGACGAATCTAGTCCGCACCTAGATGCGTGCTGTGGTGTCCGCAGGCCTGCACAAGAACCGGTAAATAACTGCAGAAACTTCAATGAAACGCATGAAATTACACGAAATAAATCCAGATCTTCTGGTGAACCGCGGCCCCCACGCGTTCTAGTTTTACGGTTTCTATCCACCCCGTTAATTGTATCGCTAGCAGCTATAGATCGCATGCTACGAGCCAACCTGACCACTGACGCGCTGAAATTACCGATCAAATATGTCCCACGCACAGAATTGTTAATACATTTCTGGCAAACATATCACATAGTAACACTGCTAGTAACGTCTACACTGCTTACTTATATAAGTGACAACAATTTAGGGCACGTCTAGATCTGGTGTACAGCCGCCAGCCACCAGTACCGTACCGTAACAGTAAATGCCCCTATCCGACCCAGCAATGCAATTCATTTCAATTCATTTCAATTCGTTTCACTCGACATATTGCCAGATACGTGTAACCCGCCGCGCTAGAGGTATATATTAATAATTGTGCTGCATTTTGCAGCACGCAGTAGTTAATTATTGTCGTTGGACTTTGGATGGTTTACGGTCATATCGCACACCTCCGACCAGAATCGTAAGCATGGTACATAACTCGTACATTAATAGGCAATAACGCGCAGTGAGAATTAAGACTGCTGAGACACGGAGTTACATAAATGTAAATCTACAGCAAGCAATGTATAACTAGCAACGGGGTCCGCACCCCACATCTAGCCACACTCACGCTCCACCGAGTACAAGATCCTTACCACACGAAAATTCCCTTGTATAATACGCGCATATTGTACTGCAAACCAACTACGATTGAAATAGAAATTTACACCTTTGCAGTGCTTGAATCACTGCCAGGACTTGCTTTTATACATTTTGATATGCACACAAAACACGGAACTATATAACGCCACTTCAACACCGTCTGTAGTGAGCAAAACAGCAATTATAATAAATACTTCTTCCATGCAGCTGCATTCACCGTTGCTTGGCAACCACAGATACCATGCGTGACATTCTCATTCCAACAGCTATCAGACCACAGAATTCGTTCGCCCGTCTGTTTATCTTCACATCTCTGACATTTGCGTGTGCAGCATTCTGTACGTTGCAGTAGAAAAATTTATACTCGTTTCGATAATAAATGTTTAAATTTACACAGAGTGTGAATAATTTTCCAGCCACATAGACTGCTAAAATACGACTTCCATTCATTCGGAAGGAAACCCAATAAAAAAATAACAATGAAATTTTAATTTACATGCATATTGCTGTACTACTGTAAGTACCACAAAAGTGAAAATTTGGGGGTAAATTCCCCACGAAAAATCACTGCGGAACAGGAAACCAAAACCATTACTTCGATCATTCTTCGGTCTCTTTTTCTTGAGCAGATTAATGTGCGCTATCATTAATCAGCGGAAAATGACTCCGCCATGGTAACTTACAGATAATATTTGTCGTTTCCACCAAATATAATTATTATATATTGTATTGCAGTCCTTCGATTACTTATGTCCTTTATACACATAAGATGCAATCAACGTCTGCTGTTGCGTAGGCTGAACTCATGTGTATAACACCGATGGTTGTTGCTGCCGTGATGCAACCCACGCCATAAACACGTCCCTAAAAACGCAAAACAGGCCAAAGTTAGCTCAAACGTTTATGACAAAATGCATAAGCGCTAGTATACCGCGTGTTTACAGCCCCACGTTTTATGGGGGAGTTCATTAACAAACAAAAGAACAGATTCATTTGGAGAAACCAAGCATCTTTGCATGTCTACGTCTAGCTCTAGTACTAAAGCCCGCGTACAGTTGCCGAGCTATAGTACTAGAGCTAGTCTACGTCATGCTTCGAAATCGTTACTATATCACCTACGATAATGGAAGCGGTCATAATGAGAGTGCTGTTATTATGCAAACATCGCGTCACGTGAGCACTCACTTGCAATGACTGACTACGCACTCGTTACTGCAGTATTCGCGGTCCCAGTCAGGGCTGTCGACGGCGAAGTTTGTGCAGCCATTGCGAATGCATCTGATCTTCCTCACGTCGAACTGTGCACCCAGTGTATTCGGCGTCTGTGCATAAGAAAAACAAATGCGCATCAAAACAATGAACCTTACATTTTTACCAAGAAAATAACCGTAATGCTAAAACTAAAGGGCAAGCCACTATTACAATGTGATCTCAGAAGGTGGATACATTTAACACCTTGATCTTATATCGTGAGGTGATTGGATGTAGCTCTAGCTGTGAAGGCCTGAGCTCGAATGCAAAACCCACATTGAAAAACTGAGCTAAAGCCCAGTAGGTAGGTGTATGTACTAAATGATGGTACGTTGTGTTACCCAGCAGGAAAATCTACTGTCGAGCCTTATTTCTATTTCTTAGTACTCTATTGTCTTAGCTAAAATTAAATGCCATTCAATTTTTTAGTACTCTCTTGTCTCAGCTAAAATTAAATGCCATTCTATTTTTTAGTACTCTCTTGTCTCAGCTAAAATTAAATGCGAGCAAAAAACCGTAGAGTTAGTCTGCAGCTGCCTTGACAGATTGTCAGGCTGACTTGTTCGGCATCCCTCCTGCATGATGCACTTACCATGCACGGTCCTTCGGGCGAGTATGTGTCCATCATTGGCGACAATTGCTGCGGTGGTGACATCGTTGTTGGCGACAGACTGGATGTCACAGACTGTGTCAGAACCTTCTTGTGTTCGCTTAGCTGCGTGGGTCCACCAAGCAGCCCCTGTGACACCAGGTTCGCCCTGTAAGCAGCCAACTGCTTCAGATATTCCTTCTTTGCGGTTTCGGTCTTCTTCTTGTATACCTGCGGCAGAAATGAAAATATATAAGACCTTAATTGTAGTTGCTGTTTGACAGTCTGTCCGAAATATATAATCAATCACAGTAATCATGTTAATGTGGCTTGCTAACCTTGCTGTTTGAACACATGGTTAGTGAATAGTAGGACACAAAAAAAGTCCCTTAACTCAATAAGATGCAGATGTTTTTTTAGAAATAAATATTTTCTAAGGTTAGTAAGGTTTTTTTTTAGAAATAAATGTCACTGAACCGTCACACGATAGTCACACCAATTTCCAAGAGTGATTAATGAGGTGGATTTTTATCTCATAAACGCCACTCACGTTCTTGTGCTCCTCATCCAAGCTGTCCCACATAGAAGCTACTATCTTGGAAACCTCGCCGAAGCTGGCCTGTGGATTCTGGCTTTTTATTGCGGCCTGTGTGTCCCGGAAGAACAGCGCGTATGCAGAGACCGGCCTGCAACAATGGGGAACAACAGCAGTTAGCCCCTGATCAGTTGTGACGGTGAAAACATATTGCACGAACCGGTCAGAATTAGGCTAATGGGAAAATGCCAGATAAGGAAGATGCATTGTCACACGTAAATGCATGTGGACAGGCTATGCCAATCTAATGCTTCATCTCAATGCGCACGGACACGCAACGCCGAAGCACTCCTGTGAATTATTGTACACGGACATACCAATACATTGCTGCAACAGATTTCTACACATAAGCGTGTAACAAGCTACGCATACACAAACATGTAGCCGCATAGCACTATTGTACATGTTAACAACATATGCACCAATATATATACATGTTAATAGTGTAATAAAGAGCCAATAATACATGTACACACAAGTGTAACACCACATACATGTACACAAACACCACATCTAGATTTGTAACGTGGGTTCATGGTAACAGCAGTAACGTGTAAGTAATATCGTACATGCACTCATGCGGCACATAGAATACTGACAAAAATAGAGCTATCTATCAACGTATATGTAATGCCATCCCACGCACAGCATATTTACATGTACCAACATACATGTACGCTATCCCACACACAGCATGTAGACAAGTAACAACGTACATGTACGCTATCCCACACACAGCATGTAGACATGTAACAACGTACATGTACGCTATCCCACACACAGCATGTAGACATGTAACAACGTACATGTACGCTATCCCACACACATGTAGACATGTAACAATGTACATGTAAACTATCCCACACACAGCATGTTGACATGTAACCACGTACATGTACACAACCGTTCTAAATTGACAGAACTAGCTTATGCTGAGAGCTGTTTCGGCTTATTTTTCTTACGAGCTGATGGATTTGATATATTTGCGGTTGACGTACGTATCATCTCTGCCAATTAATATCACCATGATCACAGCCTGGTCATTACGCCTACTTTTTGGGCAACCAATAACATTTCTTCGCTGACGAGAACAGCTGTTGAAATATTTTTATCGGCCTTGAAACAGCCTGCTGCCCACTTCACCATTCGACTTCATGATATTTTTAACCAATTGTAAATTATTTAGCATGTTATTGGCGATAGTAATCTGTGTCATACATCAGCAATGATGCGCCATAGAGTTTCTACGCGACTCGTATACGACACGTATCATTTACATGTTTGAAAACAAATTAGAAATGTACAAACTGACATTGGAGATAAGCCTGTTCCCTGTTATCTACATTTTATATACGTGGGCTATATTTAAACATCCCGTGTTTGCAGTTGGAAAAGGCATAAGCGATATAAAGACAGCAAACGCGGACTACGCCACACTATGCTATATAGTAGATCGACAATTGCGAGCATCAATATAGTCACGCAACAAAATGGCTGCAATTGTGCAACTATATTACTCGCCTCTGCAAATTATTGCGCGACGGCACGTTGCGGATCAATTCTTGCACTTTGCATGAATTGTTGATGATGGCAATTCATATCCTGCGACCGCCATTGACCATGTCGGGGAAATTTCTCGAAACTCTGCCCAAACACGCGCTAAAACCCTCCTAGTGATATTAATCACTGGCGATAACATTGCAACTGAATTCTCAATAGCGTTCCACAACATAAACGTGCATATAAGATGCAAAAGGTACTAGATTGACAGAAGGCATTTGCAGGTTATGCAGTATGTATACAAATAGAATAGAGACTCTGCATATTGCAGATGATTACATTTCTCGTGAGCACTATATCGCATACGAAGCAGCGCTTCGACTGAATATACTGGAATAATCCATCGGCTGATAATGCAAAGACGGCATATCAATTCTTCATAGAGAGGAGCATTAATGATTCAACGTTGGATTTCACGTAAACAGGAGCCACGCTTTCACTGTACCGACGCAGATAGCGACCGTGTTTAAGCGTAAGCATGCAGTCAGCAAAACAATCGTCAACATTAGATGAAGCCTCACTGGTACATACACACACTGCAATCACGCGCCCGCACGCACACGCACACACGCACGCGCACATGCACACACGCGCGCACGCGGAATCGTACCGAATCTCAAGCGACAAAGATACTCAACTTTCCGGCTTCGGCCACGGCCGGTGGGAAACTGGCATCTCGGCTACATGGAGGTGGAATGGCACGGCAATAGGGAGCATCGATACGCACTTGTACGCTACACAACAAGCCTACACTCGCCGCCGACTCGTATGGATCACAACAGGCGCAGAGTATAGCTGCCCCGGCTTAGCATGGCCGCGCTATTTCGCGTGCATTCACAGCGCTACACTGCACTGCACTGCACTGCACTGCACACAGCAGCAGCAGCGGCGGCAGTGATTATGGCTTCACCCGCTTCGCAGGCCGGCTTCAACATGCGTTCCATCCTTTGCTATTTGTACCGAACTCAGGCCATCTGTTACGCGAGTGTTTCAGGGTGCAGCACCGCCAATGGTTCTACGACCGTCAACGCCACCACCGTCATCGTCATCGTCATCGTCATCATCAACGTCATCATCAACGTCATCATCAGTAGCAGCATTAGAATCTACAGAGCCTCCTAATGAGCACTCCTCAGCACGTAGCTTGTATCCAATGTATGGCTATTATTAAACCATGAGCATAAACATGGCGGCTAATTACACGAAGGCCTGATTACACATTGCATATGTGCACAGCGCGTCGGTGATTCATCCAGTAACTGCTACTTGCTGACAGTCAACCTTTTGGGAATCCGTTACAGAAGCTTTTATAGGACATAGGCATATACATTGCGTTTCACTACCGACAGCTTGTCTGCAATGCTAATGAACACATTGGCCCGGTACCTAGTGTCACATAGGCACATGAGCATACAAACCGAACGCGTTAAATGTCCTTCCACATAACAGAAATGAAGGCTGCCCTGTTCTATAAGAGCACGTATCTATCGCCCTGGTGTCTCTCCAACTGCTATGACATAACACGCGGAATGTCGGTCAAGGTGCAATGGCTGCGCCCGTGCCAGCGTAACTCTCGCTCAACGAGGCAGACGTTTAAATCGCCTACTCGTCAGTTTACACTTTGACAAAGGCGAAACTCAATTTGCGACAGCTTCTCAGGATTTACCGATCAATATCTCTTGATAGAGAGACTCAACCATGTAATCACACATTAATCGCAAAGTCACCCTACTTAATTATGTTAATTGATCTTAATATTAACCAAGTAATTTGATTAGGTTCAATATACTTCACCATAGGATACATTATGCAAAAAACAAGCGGGTACAGCACACCAGCAATGACGACGCTCTGCTGTTTATTGGGGTTTTCTTAGTAGAATTGGAAAGTCCAGCCACATTTGAGAGGCTGTAACACACACACACACACACACACACACACACACACACACACACACACACACACACACACACACACACACACGCACGCACGCACGCACGCACGCGCGCGCGCGCGCGCACGAACGCATGTAATTAAATCTAATTTGCAATCACTGTTTTACTGTTATTCTGTACACAACACAAAAGACATGCAAAAACGCTACACACAAACGCGAGACACAAAAAACAAACAGCATATTCGCAACACCACAATGGCTACTTAGAAACGTAGCTATCCATTCTACATACAAATATTTAGGGTTGTATCCGGATAATCCAAATATCCGGATGCCAGAAATCCGGACCACACGAGAATCCGGAATTTTCGAACACTCTCAAACTTATAAAAATACTATAATAAACTAAAAATAAATAATGAATTTTTAGAAAACAAATTCTGCTTTCATTTGTTTACTGCATTTTTCTTTTACAATGTTCATTTTTTAATATGATTTCAAGCATTACACGCTCTTTTTTGAAGTGAAAATTTTTTATGTTTACATTTTTGTCAAGTGTTGATATTAATTTTCTTTAAAACTGCTCGTTTTGATAAATGAAGCATGCTGTATTTGCTAATGAATAAACTATCATAATTTATCTGTTTATTGGTTCTTTATTCCTCCTTAAGTACTGTCCGAGAATCCGGATATTCCGAAAATCCGGACTGACCCAATCACCGAGCAGTCCGGATTTCTATTGTACAAGGATTCTACTGCACATGGAAAAATATGGCATCACGAATAATAATAATTGATATTTCGTATTAACGATCACGATAGGTGCCAAGACGCGCTTTCACGAATTTGCAGCTAAGTTTCGACTTATTACGCCATCGAATTTAAACCCCGTCATCAACTACAGCATGCAGTAACAACACACTGCGGGGGATCCTTACTAGGGTACTTACTTTTGTGGTTCATTGGGATCTCGCTTCTTTTTCTTCTTGGGGCTCTTTTGTTTCTTGATCACTTTCGACGGTGGTGCTCGTTTTGACAGCTGCCAAAGAAGTAAATAGAAATCGTGAGCTTTCCGACAAGCAATGCCAACCCAATTCCATCGGCCGGAGAATAACAACGTGACAGTGAATGGCATTAATGAACTGATTAGGCTCATCATAAACACAATGCACACTTTAAAAAAAAAGGACTATTGTCATAAATCAGTGACTATATATCGTCTCATAATCTGTCATAAAAAACACAAACTACTCTCAGACAATTATATATATATAGTGATATGTATTGCAACGCTGTGGGAATGTCTGCTATACGTCCATTAGGTGTGCTACACGAACAGCTGAAATGAAATTTATTTACCAGGCTGTGATGATGACAAAATAAGTTTTTCGACAATAAATATGCTTCACGTTAGGGAGCACTGTGCAGTTCAGCTCACAACAGCAAGTTAATTTAGCAGTATATTTGAAATGACAGGTTTCAATTATTCATCAAATTAATGTAATAAATTTATTTCTACATGCAGCAGGATCGCCACAGTGTCCGCCCCGATACTGAAATGTTTTGTCATACCAAAGACTGTATGTGTTGATTACATCATATGTTTAAGCTGACACTTAATTAATTTAATTGCATAACACTTTGCACATCAATAATAATATCGCTCAAATTTCTTGCCTTAGGGCGCGCCCAGAAATGATTTCATTAGAGTAATAGCGGGTTGAGGGAGCGGGAAGTCTACACTGGATTTAAGCGTTTTGTATTGTGGCATGACATGGCATTTGTTAAAATGAAGTTTGCAGCGCGGTGTAGGCATACGCATACGGTCGCATCTGACAGTAATTGATAACGCATGATTTATCGGCGTACCCGAGAACTGTAGCGATAATAATTTAACTTGTCATTCGACAACAACGACGACGATGATTACGTAGCCGTGCTGCCGCGAGCATAGATATGAAATAGACTCCAATACTGCACACCGCAATCGATGACAAACTACATTAAATTTTACTTCGGAGTCCATCTTCAGACGAATCGCGAAGAGCCAGTGTCCTTTCTCAATCGGCGTGCTTTTCTGAATGACCGAACGGCTGAATATCTCTTGCGAATTTCCAAGGAACGAATAACAGTGTATTATCCATGTACGGGCAGATCAACGCGTGTATCAAAGTGGAGGGGGAAGGATAGAGCGAACAAAGGAAGTGTACTGTCAACATTTTTTCGACTTCAGAATGAGGTTAAATCATTATGCGTCCAACTGAAACAACCATTCGCGACCATTCGCAACCATTAGCGATTCGAAAGATAAATTGTTTTCGGACGTCCTCTCATAATGGATACACAGATATTGGATAGGAACAAATGGGACATTAATGGGCCATATATCTTTCTTAATGGAAACTGCTTTCTGAAAATTGATGACGCATGTATAAAAATCTTTATTACTCATATGTGGCAAGCTATTCGTGGCAAACAGCAAGTAATTCAAACTCGGTTGTTGAACTGTACGAAGGCGCACCCGATCAGTCACTATACACGCCAGCGTGCCCCAGGCACACTGGATTTAAGCGTAGCCTTATAAAAATATTGCAGGGCATCAACCTCGGCTCGAGCGCACCAATGCAGGGTGGAATCACGATGTGATATTAGCTACCCTGAGGGGCCAGTGAAAACAACGCATGGCACCTGCATTCATTAATGCTGCTCCACTTCTCCTGAACCTCAAAAGAAACCTATGACCAGCAAAACAATAGACCATGGCTCGAGTGAATATTAGCAGACGATACGGGAGATGCATGCGTGATGCTCGTATGCACCATCAGGTCAAATTTGCACCACTGCGAGAACCTAATAACGCCCACGAATGCTTTCCAAGTGGAATTAAGCCCCGCAGTAAGTTTGAAAGGCTTTGCGTGTTATTGCACAACGCAAGCAATTAAATCCATCAAAGCACGAGCGAAACTCAGTGTTAACATCATTTGCAAGAAGTCCCCCCCCCCCGATGATACCACTTCATTAAAAATCCCATTTCTAAAATTTCTCAGTATCATAAAAAGACTCCATCAATACTTATTTACTCTTTTTCCAGGAAGTTGAACAAGGCGGCATACTAAATAATGCTAATGTATCAAACCACGAATTTGGGGAAATAAAGAAATTGAACATTATGATGTACAAGACGTTATCATTAGTGGCACACAACTCTCTTGTTGTTCTGGAATACTCTCATTCCACCCAAATGACAGACTCTGCTAGCTGTAATTTTTTTCTTCAGATTTAAGCCCAATCATGTCATTTCTCAGTAATTGGGAGGTGGGGAAGAACGATTTTTCACTTTGTTAGAGGTAATGCACACATGGATACAATATGAGTCATAGCAAATGATTTGTGTTGTTTTATGAAAAACAGAACAAAAATTAGTAATAGTTGTACAAATGCTGCAAATTGACTACAACGGGGGCAAAAAAATCGTTACGAACACAACGCGTCTGGAAACGCATCAGCAATTGAATGGCATGCGTCACGATGATACAATTTTAATTTGTATATGGCATACACGCTACTACTCTACTATCTGATCTGATGTGAATAAAAACTATTTTTTTTATTGTATCGAATGTTCTTCGTTTTAATTCACTTTTGATCTCATCATTAGGTATGCATACTACGTACTGGCACGTCGCCGACAATCCTCTCTTCTAATCGAATTTGTATTGTCTGTGCATGATTATAGAGCTGTTAAAGACAAGGAGCCATGAAACGCATGCTAAGTAGTCGATCAGAGGGGTTTAAGTGGAACATAGGGACACTTTTGTAATGGCAGGCCACATGTATCCACGTAGGCCGGGGACACAAAGCCAACCAACGTATAAACTAGAGCATGGAGGAGAGTAAAAAGTAATTGCTTTTGATGTGGTTCGGCTTTCAAAACTAGAATTCATTTTCTAGAAATATCAAACGTTCACAACGAATGTGTGTAACATTATACGGTACTGTTACCATAGCGACAGAACAGTAAGATTGATTGCCATCATAATGGTGTTTTATAGTTGCAACCATGGTACTGTTGCCAATAAAATGTCACGGTACAATTACCATAATAATAGCATCGTAAAATTACTGCACTGCTAGTGTTGCATGATTACAAACATGACAGCCTAGTATTATCAGGATTATGAGAGAATGACATGAATAATATCTCGATGGCATGGAAAATTTGCCACTAAAGGAGGGATGAGAAAGTGGGAACCATAATCACAGAAAATAGCTGCCACCGTGATCATTTACTACGCAGAACTGTGAGAATATTGCCATCACGACTACACGAAAATTGCCAGGACGAACATACGGGACAGTTGAGAAGTCGCGCAAATCGCCATCGCGACAATCGGTGATCGCTTCTATCACGTCTAGTACGACGCGTTATGCTACGTTTACACTATCAATTTTTGTCAGCAAATCGTCCGAGTCGTGCAAAATAGAACACCATCAAATTTTAGCCGATTAGTTGGAATGCACTTGAAATCCATACGATTTGCTGACAAAAATCGATAGTGTAAACGCAGCATTAGACAGACACCGCTAGCAAATGCTCTCGGCCACGACAAGGTCACAAGTAACGCTTCCCCCGTCACTCACCTGAGAAAGCGGCAGACTGTCGTCACTGCTCTCGCTCGTCGGAGAGCTCGATGATGATTGGCTCGGCGACTTCAACGTGGCCGCCGAATGTCCGAGCGGCGACGACGTCTGCTGCTGGTTCGGCGACAAGCCCTGTGATTGGCCGGCGCCCCGCGGCGGCGGTGACATCATCTGCCCGCTCGCCGTCGTCATGACAGTCTGCTGCACGAGGCCCGGCTGCGGGAAGCGCTGCGACATCGGCTGCTGACGCGCGTTCCCCGCCACTGTCCTGTAACCGCCGCCTACAGACTGCGTCGTCAACATGAACATCGCCTGCTGCTGGCCGACAGAGGGCGCCGTCGATGCGCTGAACGCCGCCATCTGGTGGGACTGCGGCTGCTGCGGCCGCGACGGCGTCGTCGTCGTCATGAACGGCGCGTCGAGCTGCACGATCTCCGTGAAGACCTCGTCGAGGATCTGCGGGATGTTGTCGAGGTTCTGCGTCGGGAACTGCGGGTTGATGTTGAAGTCGAGCGTGTGCGCGTCGGCCAGGATCGGGCAGCCCCCGCCGCCGCCACCCCCGCCGGAGAAGTCCGAGTAAGGCACGTTAGCTACGTGGTTCAGCATACCGTCGCCGGTCGTAGTCGCCGCCCCGCTCTGTTCGCCCGCGATCACCGGGATGTCAAAGTCGTCGTCCGCCAAGGTCGGCGCGTGGAACGTCTGCGATGAGAAAAGTCAGCGGGGTCAAACGAGAGAAGGATCGGAATAGAAAAACCCCTAGAATTCCTGCAGAACTAAGCTAATTTATGCTTTTAATGCGAAGACTTGTGGGGACACGGCATTTGTTCTCGAGTACTGCTAACTTGGCTCGCGTGCGAAAAAGAGCAGCGTTTACACTACAGCAAAGTAGGCTTAGTAAAAGACTAATCGGAAAACAAATGTTTTAACAGTTTCTACGAATATTACACACTCTAAACAGGCACACGCACAGAATCTAGAAAAAGGACCGACTGCCGACACTAATGCAAAATTCTGGTCCTGGACGACATGTAATCGTATACTCGGAGGTAATTAAATTCAGAGTAGATTGTAAATTACAATGTAAATTAATGAAAGCATAGAGCCATATTTAATCATTTACGCATTAACGAAAATGCCTATCAAAGCAAATGAATTTTCAATGATCTTAGGAACTATCGTAAAAACCCTGTTAGTTTTAACAGCGCAATCAAATGTAAGACGATTAAAAACAGAAATTGATGAAGTAAAATATGGGAACACTAACATGCCTGAGAAACAAACGTTGTCAATACAAAAAAATACAATAGATAATTCATGTAAATTTACGTAAATTGTTATACGTCTGTTAATTCGTTCAATCAGTAATGAGAGCATTCATATAAGTATGTAAGCCTATAGTACAATCCCCCAAGCACACCAATGTTATAATAACCCGTGGCACGAGCAGAAGTAAGCTACTGTAAGCACTAATTAGCCATAGCGCAGTGAGCAAAGTTGCCGGTACCTAAACATGACTTTTGGTTCAAAAGCAGGGTTGATATACCGAAAATAATTATACTAGTATCCTACACATTTTTATTGTGTTTAATAGATTGTCATCTATAAATTAACTCGTAGCATAAACAGTGAGATTGGTAAAGTGCAAAAAGGATATAGGTCAAATGACTACATAATATTATATATATATATATATATATATTATTATATATATATAAACCTCATAAATATTGATTCTACGGCCATAGCTTTATCCAAATAATATGTAAGTGGTTTATGAATCCCCTAGAGTGCTCTGCGAATATTATCACGTGCAATAAGAGCAGAGCAGCATCGTCAGGCATTCCGATATTTGTAGCTATAGAAGTGTATATCAACCAACAGTCAAAACATTTGGCTGTTTACTACAGCAACCATATCCGGCTGCAAGTAAAATCCTTCCCCTGGGAAATGGGCAATCGAAATGCCACGTAACATGCTTATAACTCAATGATTATGAATGTTTTATGCAGACGCAGCAGCGAGGAGCTGCTGTTGATATTCAGAATTGGTTACGTTCAACTAACCCATTATTTTAATTCAATCAGGCAGTATGAATGGTTCACTGGCAATCGATGATTGTGATGCAACCAGCTATGATGCCAGTCAATATAGTCTTATTTAATATGCGAAACCTAATAGGTGTTCATGCACCAGCAGATGGCTGCTCTATAATATCCTTATTCCGGGATGGATATTGGCTAGTTTGGCTACTAGATGGAAGAATGACAACGCTTCCCTTTTTATACTCACTAGCACTACAGTCGAATATCAACCTCTGTACTGGGAATAGATTTTTTACAGTGACGGCAATATGTTTGATTAGGTGTATTGTTCGCTGGAAGTCTTGCAACTTTGCTGAACGCCTGAGCGACAGCGCACCCATAAACGCATTACTGGAAATGCCTAGTTTCCATTAGGTCTATTGACAGCGCTTTTTAAACAAAAAAGCGTACACACAGTTGCAGTGTCACAAACAAAATGACGATGAGTGCATGTCACGACCATCTGCACATGTTTTCCTTCGTCGTATAACAATGTGGGGTTGTTCTGTCTCACGCGACCTTCCGACAACATCCACCATTTGTGTAAACGCATAATTAGCCGATGACGTATCAACATATTGTGCTACATTAGTTTTGAATCAGCTGACGCACACAGAGACGCAAACGCACGCACGTACACATACAGGCGCAGGCGCGCGTGCACGGACGCACGCACACACGTGACATATTTCTATAAATATGAACAAATCAGCATCTTGCAATAGATGCTGGTTGCTATGGAAACTTGGATCTACAATTGCGACGCACAGCACAGCGATGGCGCATGCGGCCGATTCTAAAGTTTCTCGCATTACTAAGCAGGTACTTGTGGCCACAGTTGCCACAGTGAACTATCCAATGATATGCTAGTATTTTTACGCGGAGAAGACGACACCGTTCCAGCCGCCGTCATCAGTAAATCTTCGAGCATCATCCGGTCGCAATCTAAAATGCGTAACTACTCGCCACTGAGTACTGGCTTCATTTGTATTCCACCGCAGAGCATCCCTCTTTTTGCCGAGAAAATCTACTGTTCATTGTCCAAGTGAAATGACAATAATTTTTGCAAACGACGTGAATTTGCAATGACAGAAAAGCGAATAATATTTACATAACAAATGAAAGGCTCAATGGTCTGGCAAATCAATCGAGACGACTTCATTAAACTGCTTCGATTTAACACTAGTATATGAAATGGGACTTTTTCACTGCTCGTAATTAATAAACATTTGATGGCATTGATGGGAGACAGTATTTGCATGTTTAGAGGAAGCTCATTGAACATTCCCAAATTAATATAGTTTCAGTCTGTGATATTGTATAATGTAAAATATTTGTCGTGCAAATAAATGCAAGTTTCAATCGACAATAGATAGAAACACAATATTATACGTCAGCAAGATTATCTTCTATATATCTGCTAGTGGCTGCGAACGTCAGCCGGGTGCATTCAGAGAACTCGTAGCAAAACCATTACTGAAATGGATGTAATGGACCAAGATGTGACATTTTCAACTAGGGAGACGAATCATTTTAAAACCGTGGAAAGCTCTGATGCTCCAGAGTAAATATTTTAAGCTTAACGTTATGCTGCTGTATATAACCGTGTAGGCAAGTAGACATTCAATAGGTTGGCAACCATTTGAAATGGCAACCTTGACACCATTTAGTTAATGGAGCAGCCTCTCTTTCCCGCTTGAGAGGGGGAGGGTGATGGGTGGGAGGGCGGGTGGTTGGGGGGGGTAGAAGAAGACGAGGGGGAGCGAGCGAGAAAGGAGGGAGGGAGATAAGTGGCTATAAATGTCGAATGCAATTATATCACGCTACATGTTATATCAGTAACATATCACAGCAGCTAGGGTATATTGACACACACACACGCCGCCCAAACACAAAAGACAATTTTAGATGGCCTAGTTACAGCCAGCAAAAAATATTGGGATGCCGAAACCCAATCAAGTTGCATCATCTAGAGTAATTTAAAGACATCCAGCTTAAGTAATGTGTTTGAGAGCCGGCGGCTGGCGCGGCCAAGCACGCAGTACGCGCAACTCGTGACTGCGAGCGCACTAGACTAGATAATCGAACGCTCCTCGGCGGCTGCCAAATAAATTAAAATCAAAAACAGAAGATTCCCTAATTGCGACTTAATCGCGTCGTAATGCGAGGTAGCTGCAATTGGCCGCAAACAGCAATTTGCGGCTTAGAGGCTCTAGCTAGCCGCTGCGAGCAAGGATATTGGCTAATGGCGGCCACAATTCTACAGCAAACTGTCAGTGGGTTAATGCAGTAAAAAAGTGGCAATTATGCTCATTAATGTGAAGCGACGAGAGAAAAAGAGGGGCTTCAGTCCCTCTGCGAATTACCTAATTGAAGAGAAACTCGCCAAATAAACCACTTCGGGCGCTCAAAAATGTCACTTAACACGTGTCGCTTTATATGCGCGAATGAATTCCATCCGCGAGCACATGCTCGCTCACCACGCCAGCAGCTACACAGGCTCACAACGCGCAACCGATTGACCAGGAGGGAAATCCGGAGGTTCGGACTGCAAGCAGCTCTGACACGAGCGATGTCGTGCTATCAAAAATCGGGCGCACTCCCACGAGTGATGTGACTGCCCCCCACAAAGCTACTCGACGACCGCCTGGTGCACGTTGCAATCTGCCTGGCACTTAACGACGGACGGATTCTAGAGCAGCACGCTAATTACACATTATACGTCGAGTAATTACATATATGCAAATCGCACGCATGGGCGTGAACATCGCGCGACAACCATTGCATGCACGAAGTCATTATTATATTCAAGACAATAGCGTCTCTCAATGTGCCAAACAAATTAAAGACGGCCGATGGCATATACTCGAAAGACAGAAAGACAGGTATGACTAATTCGTATCAAACATGACGCAAATAGCAGAAAGATTAGCCAGGCGTTCGCATATAGCAATAGCGCAACAAAACAATGTGCAGCGGTAAGTGCATTTGCAACCACAACCGATTAATCAAAAGACTCACGCGCCCTCGGTTTACTGCAGCGAAATCTTAACCAGAAACTGTTTACAACAACGTCGGGTATACAGACCACACCAGAAATTTCCTTAACATCCATTAATAATTGAAACGCTAACTGTTTCCCCACACAAAGGGGTCTGATCGGCTCACTCGGGCACATGGGTTTCAGTTAATGTGCGCATTATTTCATAGCACTCAAAACTGGCGACTTAATTGCTGCTAAATAAACATTTGATTGTGTAGTGGAGATTTGCCGCAAGCGGTCACTGCCCACTTGCGTCAATAAACAGAGCCACACACCCACTGGGTGGGGTGGGGGTACGAAATGCCAGTTTGTGAAACAACCATTCAAGCTCAGCGATACAACATATCCGACTGGCAGTAAAACCTAATAAATGATTCGCAAACATCATTTGCTGCTGTCTCCGTCCGTACAGAGTACCCATTAGGTAAGCCTGAAGGGATCTGTGAGGGAGCCTCAAATATTTAAAGCTACATGATCAACAGCTGTGTGTCCAACTGTATAGACATTAGCGATTGGCCATCCGCGAGAGGTTTACTTTACGAGTTCTTAACTTGTTACTGTGTAAAAAGACGTAG